ATCTCAAGTCAGTTTTGAATTTCTGAGAACTTGTAGGTGATTTTAAAAAAAAATTGGTCAATTTGAAGCAAGTTGAAAAAAGACCTTTTCGACCTTGAAAAGGTCAAATCTTTTTTACCTTTAGAATGTCATTGAAGGTAAAATCTATAATCAGATTTGAACCTTTGAGAACTTGAAGATAATTTTGAAAAAAAATTGGTCAATTTGAACCAAGTTGAAAAAATACCTTTTTGACCTTTTCTGACCTTGAGAAGGTCATTGAAGGTCAAATATCAAATCTAAAGTCAGATTTGAACTTCTGATAACTTTTTGAATATTTAATGATAAAAATCAAGATCATTTCTACTTGCACCTAATATGAAGTCTTTTACAAATCAATTATGTAATTCAAAAAGAAATAATTTTTCTTTTATTAATAATGTAACACAGTAACCTTCACATTTATCATTAAGATCAGAATGAAAAAAATATGTTATTGTTAAAAAATAATAGTTCTGACAAATCTATGAATAACAAGTCTTTTCACATAAACAATTTATCCGAAGTCATAAGCCAAGGGAAAACATTGATATTGACAGAGAGCAAGTATGCAATCTCAACAGATAACTGAGCCAACCTATGTAATGTCTCAACTTGCATTTCATTTAATTCATTTCAAAATGTAATCTTTATTAGAATAGTTTTGTCAATTTAACATACTAGATTTGAGTTTTGTCCATATTTGGACTTAAGTTCGTTGTTATCACAATATAAAATATGAATATAAAAAATTGTGATCTTGTTATTGTACTCTTAATAAAGAAATTTGTAATTTTTGATGTTCTTTCAACTCTTAAGTACTAGTATACATAAAGGTCTCAGGTGATGTTAACACCATATTGGCTTATATTGTAGTCTTATCATAGGCTTTCAAGAGATTCTTTAAAGATAACTTTAGATCGATATTCAATAGTCTCTAGTGGAAATATTGAAGGTAATCGGGCGATAATGACATAGTGGGCATGCCGGAAATAAATTAGACATAGTCTTCAATCACTGTCAATATTGTCTAAGCGATCTTTACCATATTCTCTCCAATAACAATACTTATCATTACTATAAAAATATGTTGAAATTAAGGCATTCTTGGCAAGAAAAATTGCCATACATGAAATTCCTCGGGATTTCCGATTTCTTTCATACATGGGCGCTTATTAGAATGGTCTGAATGATGTATTTTCAATTTTCTAAATGCCCTTGGCGCTAATTACAGAGAATATGGTAATTAAATTTCAGGTGTCTTAACTACCTATTAACACCTGCGCTAAAGCAACAAAGTACAGGTATACCAAAACAAAAAATTACAAGACTACATCTTGAACTGATTGATTGATGAAAACTGATTGAAAAATAAGCAAGACATTTAGCATAAAAATGGTTTAGAAGAAATTAATTTTAGAACTTTAATCAGGATTTCTGCACACTGGTTTTGTCATAGGTTTGTCAAGATTGGACGCACACAAAATCGAGGATACAATCAGACATTGATAAATATGTCTAAGTTAGGGTCATGGTGATATATTTTCCTTTTTGTAATTACTTTGATAAGCCACGCCACTTAATGAGCTTATCTGCAGATTGTCTATATGCTTTAAAGAAAAAATCCTGTAATGTCAACTAAGACTGATCAAAGTTTTTTGATCAGATTTGTAAATTGTTTGTTTTCATGGGTGTATGAGGTAATAGCCTTTAGCTGCACATAGACCTTACCATTAGGAACTAACATTTTATTTGAACTTTAATTTCTGCCTATTGACACTCTATTACGTTTACAATATATACTTGATTTTCAGAGTTTCCAACTAAAGTCCAAATCTGCAATATCTCAAGATTTTCAAAATCTCAATTTAATTCAAATTAATTTTCAGCTGAGTATAATGAACCTAGAGATCCCTCGATTTAATTATCAAGAGTTTCTTATAATGTATTTAATACAAAGCAATTGTATTGTAATTGTATTTGTTTATAATATAAAGTTCGATTAACTGCAACTGCACCTGGTCCTCCAATAAGAACAATTCATATTTGGACCACAAAAACTCTTGCAGGAGCTTCATTAAAGTTTCTGAAAACTGGCATAATAAATCAAAAGAAGGTTTTAAAGGTTGAACAATTAGAAGAGCGACGTATCCAATGATCATGGTGTTGACAAATCTAAAGACGAAATCTTAGAAACAGTAAAAACACATCAATAAACTGCCACACAACAAATTTTTTATTTACAAACCAACTACAAAAAAATTTCAGAAAAATTAAACAAGAAATCAATCATGATTAAATTAATAGGTTAATCAAGGTCTAGTTATTTGTACAAAAACAATGTTGTATGTTGAAGTTTTCTTTGGCTTAGGTAATTGTATTCTCGTAGAATTATCTCAAAGCATTGATCAAATAATGCTTTCCAGTATGGTCAACATTGATGTCATCGATGAACATTTCTCCTGATATCTAATCTAATTACGAATGCTATTAATCTAAATAAATGAAGGCTGGCAAACATTTGAATTATTTATCCAGTAACATGACGTAAATTGTATATTGAACCTTAAGATTTAGGAAGCTTAAAATCCTTTTTTATAAAATATTTGAGAAATGAGAAAATTAAGTGATCTTCTATTTGTACTTTTAAATGAAGGACCCACGGTCCTGTGCTCACACAGTTTGGAACCTCCAGAGGAATGTATATACTGACTTTCAAACAAAAATATTGATTTGGATTTGTAGTCTCGAACTTTGAGAAACTTAGATAGCACAGTTGTGTGACCTAGTTTGATGATCTTTGACCTTGAAAATTTTACTAATTCAGAGCTCAGTAAGGTCTTTTGTGATTAAGCTGACCAAAATTTACATCCAAAAATCAATTTGAAAAATCAACTATTTTGACCTTTTGAAGGTCACTGAAGGTCAAGTAAAGGTCAACTCCTGGCAACTTGTAGATGATTTTCAAAAAAAAATTTGGTCAAATTGAAGCAAGTTGAAAAATAACTTATTTTTACTGTTTTTTGACGTCAAATATCTCAAAAACGGTAAAAATTTGATGCTGACATATATTGAGCAATATGTAGGGAATGCTTAAATCTAGTAATGATGTAATTCATTGCAAGAAATGATCAAGTATAAGGCAAACTTTGAGAAACTTGTCAATCACAAAACCTGCCATTGACTTTATACATGAGAAAGTTTCCTGAAAATGACTAAGTCCTACTTTTTGTCAAATTTTATAGAGTAAAAACCAAAAACTGTAATTCCAAGAGCTTTGAAATCTTCAGAGGACATAAGTTGCATATACAGCAACTACTTAAAGTTATTTGAAAGTTCTACTTCAACAAAGAGTCTAGTATTTACAGAAAATTTGACTTTTTGACGTCAAAATCTGCAATTTCTCGGAAACCGGGCGAACTTGGGAAATGGCGATGATAGGTCAAATAGGCATTATGGATATGCATAAAATAAATGTGGATATGACTCAATCCGAATAGCAGTTTTAATTTGTGCGGCCAATGTTGACGGACGGACGGACGGACCAACGGACGGACGGACGTACTAACAGATGATACCCTATGTGTTACTGTCCTTCAGTGTCTTATTTTTGTGTGTCTATTTAGCCTAATGTGTTTCAAAATTTCCCTGTGTGTCTATGAAATTTCCTTGTGTGTCTGCATGGACATGTTTCCCACGAATGATACCTTATGTGTTACTCTTCTTCTGTGTCTTAATGTTTGTGTGTCTATTGAGCCTTGTGTGTCTATTGAGCCTTTTGTGTATGTAAGCTCTCCTTTGTGCCTATGAAGCACCCTTCTGTGTCTTGTGTCCAAGCTTTATACCTTAATTGTAACTTGTTTCTCACATAAGTATTAGGTATTATTAAGTAACACACAAACATTTGTTTGACTGTAAAGAAAAAAACACATCAAATTACCAATGTCTATTATCTGGTAGTCAAATATATACTGACTTTTACTGTATAAGTCCTTTTGTGTCTTAATGTTGTGTGTACTTATATATAACCTTCATGTTTAACATTTTCCTGTGTGTCTATGAAAACTCCTTGTGTGTCTGCATGAAATGTCAACTGTATCCCATTGATTATATTTGATGTTACCAATTACTTATGTGTCTTATTTTTGTGATTTCAATTTAACCTTGTGTTTATCTATTACTTCACTTCAACCATTTATATAACCTTAAATACAAAAACAAACAAATATAATTTCTTTTTCGTAACCATCAGACTTATATTTTATTGAACCAAAAGGCCTATATTAATCAGGATAGGGTCCTGCATAGGGTATATTTATCTACTGCGGTCTTGAACACCAGAAAATATGTAAGTGGGGCAGGTGTCATATTAATAAATAGGTACTGTAGATACACTTATTTTCACGCTACTTAATTTGACAGATTTGCTCAATTTCAAATATTGGCGGCTATTTTTTATTCAGGACTGACGTTTAATTTTTGTCTATGTTTATGTCATTAGGACAGGTATTTAGTAGATGATATTTTCTATATTCCTTTTGGAATAATGTAGAATGTATGACATGTTGACATGAAAAGGAGTCACAGAAGTTTAATTTCTGAAGTGCATGGGACAAAAATTCCAAACAAAATTTGCAAATTGGCGGGTTTTCTGAATTCGCCAAATTAAAACAGTAGCCAAATTAAATGTATCTACACTGTTGTATTGAACGTGTTGAGTTGTTTTATTTCCTGTGGATACACCTATCAAGCTCACAGTACATTAGAGGATCATATAGGTGTTGCAAATGGACAGCTTGCCATAGTACATTCTTGAAAGGATAGGTATCGATATGGTGAACTGAATTCAACAATGTTTTTCTCTTAAACCAATTATTGAAAACATTTTGTAAAAAAGGTCCTTTATGTAATGTTGACTTATGGCAACAATTAAATGCAATAAAAATTATTTATATATATATTTTTATGACTGTTTTTGTTAACATTTTTTGTTTTTAGTGCAATTGTTTTTTTTTGTTCCTTTCTAACAATTCTTGAGAATGAAATAAAATAAATGTGATTTAGCCCATAATGAAACACTTGAATAATCCTTTAATGTACTGGGAAAGTGATGGACATATCAGCAGGAAATAAAACAACTCAACATGTTCAATACCTATCAAATAATATGAGACCTACCCTGCTTGCGTAGGGTATTTTTGTGTACCCGACGTGAGGCCTAGGTAGGTAGGGTCCTGTAAATGGTCCTGTAAAACTCAAACAGTTTTATCAATGAGCATAAAGTCTTGACTGTTTTCCAAGGCATCTTCCATGAACTGTTCTGCCTCATCATGGGTGCTGTGTTTCACATCCATGTAGATCTTCACAAGCATCTCAGGAAGAAGCACTTTCAATATATAGTCCAGTAAAGTGAAGTTCGTCTTGCAGAAAATAGCCATTAGCTGTTCAATCACAACTTCATGTTGCTCCTCATAGAATATACCCAGCCTCACTTGGTACATCAGGTTAACTGCAAATATTCATTAAAACATAGTGTTAAAATAGGACACACGCCAATATCGAAATCTTCTTTGTTACCATCTTAAACCAAAAATGAAATGTGTAGTGTATTGATCTTCTGCCAATGAATAGTACCTTAATGATGCTGTACCCAGCTTCTATTTCATTATTCGGCTTGGAAAAAATTTGAAGGTATCATTTTGTTCAAGACATTCTCTAGAGTAAATAGATCTTGAGTAAAAATGTGTGGTAAGTGAATTCGCTAAAGGCAGTTACACAGGCTGGTATAGAATGCTATGCTATTTTTCATAAAAACACTAATTAGAATACTTCACGATTTATTTTTTAACTCATATGTTTCGTTATATCAATGAAATTACTTACTCCGTGCAATGGATATATCATTTGTGGATAACCTTCACTTATGTTTAAAGTCCAATAACGCTAGGAGTAAAAGCTATTGAAAACTGTGCCAGAGTATCGAACTCTAAATTGTACCATTTCTTTTTTAAAGCTGGACTACGCTCCGAAACGCAATATGTTGACATATATTGTTTTTACATTTTCAAGCTCTAATATAAAGTTTATGTAAATAAAAATTGTTTTTTTCTGCGTAATATCAAAGAACAATCATTTAGTTAAAAAAATAAAAAGGCTAGTGCGGGATTCGAACCCGGGCCTCCCGCGTGCTCAGCGAGGATTCAACCCGCTACACCACCGTATTATTATGAAAGGAGGAAGTAATTAAACGCTACTTATTTTGAATGCTATGATTCGGAAGTGACGTCACGTTCTTCATATAGAAACCTTTCCAAAATCATATCGCCGGCACCGATCGAAGCAAATTCAATGAAAAATCTTTGAAATGACACATTTATCGTAAGTATTTCTACACAAGATTTGCCCCATTTGTTCATCATTCTATAATCTTTCATTAAGCTCAAAATGATAAAGTTCACCCCCGAAACAACCCAAGATTGCTTTTCGGAGCGTAGTCCAGCTTTAACTTTTAATGGCATGATAAAGTGACACAATAACATTAATATATGTTTTCAGCATAACTCTGAATGTATTAATGAGATATCGATGTTAATTATAACTGATGTTAGTAATAATGTTAACATTTTTGTCAGGAGCAGTTTCACTGTGACGGAGCAGTTACACAGTTCACATTTGCAACTCCTCTATACAGCGGACAAAAAATTAAACATTATTTTATATAAAAGAATTAAAAAGACCCAATACATCAACATCTCATTGATACCATCAAAGTTATGCTGAAATCATATGTAAATATTATTGTGTCGCTAAGAAATAGTACATTTTGGAGTATGATGCTCTGGCGCCATTTTCATTAGCTTTTCCTTCCAGCTTTATTGGACTTTAAACAGAAGTGAAAATTACCCGCAAATGATATATCCATTGAATGAAGTAAGTTATTTTCTTTTGTATAACGAAACATATGAGTTGAAAAATAAATTGTGTGGTTTTCTTAGTGTTTTTATAAAAAATAACATGCTCTGCCACAGCACAGCAGACAAATCTTCGATACCAGCCTGTGAGGTAATATGACACTATACTATTTATATTCAAAGATAGGGGTAAGGGTATAAAATATTTTTTTAATGTAAGTTAATGGAAAAGTGAAAGCAAAACACCAACAAAATTTATTCGAAGTGAAAAAATGACCTATCAATCACATGTGTAAAAAATATAAAGGTCATACCTTTGCTAGTTACAAAGGAAATGTTAAGGCTATGTCTAAAAAATGCAAAATTATCACTTGGAGGTATATCAGGTTTGTTTCGGGAATGTCTAATAATATAAAATCAATAGACTAGATGCGAGTAGAAATAATCTTGATTTACAACATTAAAAATTAAATTCAGTCAAACTGATGTCATATTTGGAATCTACGTGTAAAATTACATCTAGCAATGTGGTTTTGAAAAGAGTGTATCAACTTTAAAATTTAATTTTCTTTGAAAATGTGACTCCTAGCTGGTCAAGGAGAAATATATTTTCTTGTGTTGGTCAGATAATATTTTCTTTTACTGGACATACTTTCATTTGTATAACTATCAGATACAAAACGGTAATACGAAATATTCAAGTTTAAGGGAACTTTCAAATACCCATATGCCATGTTATTATGCACCTCATTAAAATACTCAAATCTGATTGGTTAAGAGCTGCAGGGTCTATTGCCATATGTGGCAGCAAGACCTCATTCTATCCAGTATTGAAGCAACGAGATCTCCAACCATACCATATTTTTAATACCCTACCCCCAAGAGTGTGTGTGCATTTTGAAATTAAATCCTGAAACATGCACTTTTATTATTTAATTTTATAAATTAATTTCTTGACAATTTAATACCATCTTTTATTTATCTACAGTAAATTAATGGTAGGAATAGAAACCTGATGGCGAATTTGCTAACTACCTACTTGCATCTAGGTAATTATAGTTTTGCTTTTATCCGGAAGTGCCAAATGATTGACCTAATAAGCTCTATTGCTAAATTCTATAATGATATTGGAACTACCAAACTACCAAAGATATATACTGATTTTAAAACATGTATTAATGATAATGGCTTAGAATGGGTGCTGAATGATTCCATCTTGGGTCAGGAACTAGGTAATATTTTTGACACATGCTCTAAATCCTTTATTAAAAATATTTATATATTCAAATATACCGCAAAACAAACAGCAGTTGCTAAGCAACAACAGTAAAGGGATTGGTAGAGATTGGGGAATTTGGTAAATATATTTATGATGGAGATTTATGAACAACTACTAAAAGTTCAGGAGCTTATTTTAAGTTTCATCATAAAGTTGTCGTATTGTAAATCATTTGCCAAGGATTTACAATGAAATATACAGTGGAGACGATTAGGTCATTTAACGTTCATCCCGTCAATTAACGTCATTGTAGTTGATTGACAGATACTACGTTAATTGACGTTCTATATTTTTCAATTGCGCATGTGTAATCAATCGCATCAATTGACGTGTAATCGTATAATCAACGTGCGGGAACGTTGATTGTCGTACAGGCTAGGTCATATTTTTATTATCGCCCATTACCAAGGTAACTGGCCGAAATGTACCTACCTCATTAGTACTTCTTGATGAAATTGTCAATGTTTGAAATTGTGAGAATCGACAAAAAGCTTCTATTATAAATTATAAACAGTTGTATAATTTATTTACGCGTATTTCGATTCATAACTGGCAGACTTACGTCTTGAAATCACGGACCTCTTTCAAAAACGATATCGGCTAGATACTATCTGCACTCCCCTGATAGTTTGTCTTTTTAGTCTTTACTAAATTAAAGCCCGTGAATTGAGGTGACAATTTAACCGAGGTGACTTTTAACCTGTATATCATTATCATAAATTATGAATTGGATCCGACTCGCAGTGTTACGTATATTCAGCAATTACTATAATTAAAAATTAAATTTAAAAAAATTAAATTTCATTAAATGTAAAAACAATCATTAAAATTGTTCAAGGACATGATAAAAGACATTCTTATCATCATAAATATGAACAACGTATTTTTTTTCCTTCTAATTGTGATATTTCGTTAAATTCTGAAGTGGACTTTATTTTAGTCAGATGCGCTCAGGAGAAATCGGCAATACGGGCCCGTTCTAGGATGAAACATTCAAAATGTTGTATTTAATTTCATCATCAATATGGAAATCTAATTTTGTTCAATAAAATATACCAACACAATTTGTCCATAATAGAAATTCATTGGCGAAGCAATGAGACTGTGATCATTATGCTATAGAGTCATTGCGACTTTTTAATGGAGTCGCGCCTCCATATTTCGACAACGTCTTCATTATTGTTTTATAAAAAAATATTGCATCATAGAAAACACAATTCCCACATAGAAGTTGAAGATATCTATCCAATGCTTCGAATAAAAGTAAAAACATCTTGCCCAAATTGTAATAAACATGTCCCAGATGCCTCTCTTGCGTGTGTTTACCGCAAAATAAGCCATCCTGATATTTGATCATCAGTTGTTCAAATGATTATACTATAGTGTTTCTGCTTCTAAAAGCCTGGTTGAAACAGAAAGAAGTGAAGCCATGTTCTTCTGTATGCTAAATAATTAAAAATTTAAGCTTATCTGTATACATGTATAAATATCACCAAAAAGTATTTTTCTGAAATGAAATGCAACGAAAATAACGTCTAAATCAATTTGAATTTGAAGTATGTCAATTAACGCGATACCTGGCAATTAACGCACAATGACGTCAATCGTCGTAATAAACAACCTAATCGTCTCCACTGATATATGTTAGTTCAGAAACGAACTCAAGTATTTTGATGTAAATAAGGATAAAAGTAATGGAACTAAATTGTTTTAAGTTAGTATTGTAAGGTTGTAAAACTTGATTACCTTTGGCCTTTCCACCTTGCTTGTAATCTTCATGTCTTCTATTGTACACCTTCCCCTGGTATATGTTGCGTAGATATTTCTTGTTCTCTTTCACAAGATGGATCAGTTGTTCCTGTGTTAATTCACACACTTTGCTACAAGTAGACAAATACAATTCCCTTATATATATACTACATAATATAATATAATCATAATGACATAAATAATGGTGTAGATTAGATCATGTACATGGCTTCTGAACAAAATATCAAAGTCTTCAATTTATAACACATGTCTCTATAGCTTTTAACACGACTATAAGACATAAATTAAAAGTTCATCAACATAAAAGTTCATACTCAAGCCTCCAGGCCCATAGCCTCGGGGTTGAGGGTTACTGGTGACCTCCCCAACCTAAATTCTTTCAAAATCATGCAGTTTTTCAATATATTGAGCAGATTTTGCATGACTTTCGGTACATTTTAGGCAAATATTTGTCCAAAGTGAACCCCCCTGGAATTTTGGGAAAAATGACCCCCTCTTTGAGAAATTCTGGCTGCGGGCATGAGCCTCTATTTGGGAAGTTTTGTTAATACTTACTTCACTTTGCTCAATACATTGGGCAGTTCTATTATATCCTCTTCATCATCAATCACAAAAGTATCATCAGCCTCATCTTTAGTCTTCAGATCATGAACATTCATGCAACTAATATCACCACAATCCCCAGTACCAATATCATAATCCAATTGTATATCAGCAAGCAAGTCATTTTCGTAATTCTTATCCTCATTTTGATCATGAAAATTGCCATTCATCATTTGTCCATTGCTGCCATGGTCTTTTGAGTTCAATTTTATAATACTGTTATCCATGGATGTGTCAGCTTGCTAAATTATAGTAGTGTTTGTGTAGCGTAGGGCTCTTTCAAGAAGATTTGCGACACTAAGTTCTTATGGTTGATTTCTGCAATGAAAAGTTAAAAATTAAATAATGACATGGATTCACTTAAAAGATAAAATCATTTACAGCAATTAAAAAATTAATCTCCATTTTCTTGGTTTTATAATGTCATTAGATCCAGGGGTCAAGAATTCTAGGGTTTATCTTGATAAATTTAAACTCTTATGATAAATTTTAAAAATTAAACACACAAAGGAAACTGATACTAGTGAATTGAGTGTTCAAAGAGGCAATCAATTTCACTTTCATCCAGGAACATCATCACTTACTTTAAAACTAACATTAATTTAATCTTTTTTATCAAAAATGATCACAAACTTCTAAACACTAGAATTTTAGTTACTTACTGTGTAGGTGTGATTCAATTAAGAAGCCATTTTGTTTCTATAGATGGCTCTGAGGTTATGTTATCTGAAAAGCTATTGGTTTACAATCAAATCATTTTGACCAATCAAATTTAGTGTAACAGTTTTTAAGAAATGTTTACAACATTGATATTATATTATTTTATAGGGACCTGGACATCCATTGACTTGGACATGGACATAGACTTGGACACATTTTTATGTGTCTTCTCAGATAACTTGTGGAAAACACATAAGGGTTGAAAATAGACCTTTTGGCAACTTTTTTTGTGTGTCTAGACACATAGGGGAAAAAAGTTTCATAGGGGGTTGATGTACAGACGAAAAGACACATAGGATAGCATCCGGGGGGACGGACCAACGGACGGACGGACCAATGGACGGACGGACGCCTGGTCGATCCCATAGGCTCACTGTGTGAGCCAAAAAAGTAGGTCACTGATTTTTTCATTTTTAAACATTTTATAAATAATATTCTCCACTTTTTACAAGGTATATTAGTGCACACATTGTGTAAAACTGAAAGATGTAGACAATGTGTAGAAGTTCATATTTGAAAAGTAACCTGTGACTTGATGAGGACTGCATCAAAATAGCCAGAAGTACACATTTATCTTAACCTGAGAGTGGCATTTTTGAACAAATATTTTGATCCATCATTTAATCCTGCATTTTATCACATTTTGCACATTATAATTTGTGAGATACCTTCATGTTTACATGTATTTGCAACAATCCAACAAAATTTTCACCTGGTACCTATTAAGGAGATCCTGGCAGTGGCATAATGGTTGAAAAATAGGTAAATGGTTGAGAAATAAATGTACTATTAAAGGTGGAGACAGGTTCAGTAAAAGACACGTGGCACAATATTTTGGATAGAATAAAAACAAACTTCCCATTATCATACATCCCAGGCCACAGTTGTATCATATACGATGAGGTTGCAGACAGGCTGGGGGCAAAGCAATACCAATAAAGAACATTAAGTTAGGTGCCAGCGACAACAGAGCAGGATAAAGGCTTCTATAATTGTAAAGAAGTGTATCCAGGAAAAAGAGATGTACACAACCCAAAGCCTCATTGAAAGAGGATAGAAACGTGGATATGGATCTAAGCTCAAATTAAGAAGGAAAGGGGTTAAAGTTGGCCTATTAACCAAATCTATTCTACGAGAAGTGTTGCTTAAAGGATGGTCAGTGGATACCACTAGAACCTTACCTCTGAAGAATAGGAAATAGAAAGATTGGAGAAATATGGATTGAAACTTGAGCCATAGTTTTCTCCTGATGACCATTTTGAAATATTGTGTTTTATGGATTACGGTGTCAGCTTTGCAAATGAATGTTGGCCCTTTGGCACACTTATGGATTGGAATTTGTTTGTCCCACATCATTTGAGACTGTATGCTCAATCTTGTATGAATACTAAAATATAGCATCTATTTCATTATGAATGAAATGTCCCTTGGTGTTATGGTCCTGTATTGTGATAATGGCACTTAATTAAATGGTATTGGTGGTGGGGGGGGGGGTTATTTGCAATTGTTATTTTTCATGTTAGATCATGGTTTGGGAAAGTTTGGGCAGTTTGTTTTTTGTATACTCTTAGATGTGTTTTTTTATCTTGTAGTATTTAGTAACAATTTTGGTCCTTTCCCTTTGCCACTTGTGTAAACATATTTGATATCAGTACAACTTCTGATATCTTGATTATTGTAAATTCTCACATTATGACCTTTCTAATTTCTTAACCATGAATTAGATAACAATATGTCACTACTTTTTGATGGTGACATAAAAAATGATATACATGTAATCACAGTGATTTAAACTTTTCCCTAGATTTGAGTATGTTATAGACTAGCCATACTTAGAATATGTATGTACCTATTAAGGAGATCCCGGCAGTGGCATAATGGTTGAGAAATAGGTTAATGGTTGAGAAATAAATGTACTATCAAAATGTCCCCACATGTGTTGGTGACATAAAACAATCCTCCAACTTTCCCAAAGAAATATCAAAATTATTGCATCAAGTGGTCATTTTGGATTTTCATAAAACTTTCCTGCCATTGTCTAGAGGAGCAGAAATCTTGAAAAACATACATCTTTTCTTGGATGTTGAGAAAATCTGTCCTCTCATATTCAAGTTACAGGTGGACAGACAGAAAGATGGATGAATGAGGCTTGTAACTTAGTTCATCTGATATGAATACATTTACCACAGGCTGGAAACTTTGAACTAGGAGTCTCCAGCTGAGCGTAACCTTTGAGAATTAGAAAGATTTAGACATATACCAGCTGAGCGTAACCTTTGAGAATTAGAAAGCCTTTCCTTGATTTAGACATATAATATAGAATTTTAAGATTATGTTGTTTAATAATTCATACCCACATTGCCAAGACATAGTTTTATACCTAGATCCAGGCATTATTATTGTGACATTATCCTTATATTAGGTCAGGTTAAAAGTTATCCTAGTGTCAAATAATTGAATAGTGGAAATGAAAATGAAATTGTTGTCCAACAAAGAACTTTTTTTTGATTCATTAGTTGATCAGATAGACTCTGCATTTGTTGTTCATCAACAACAATACCTGTTACAAAGCAGAGTTAATGTTACAAAGCAGAGTTAATTTCCTTCATTACAAGGCATTCTGACACAAAGCTCCATAGTGAAGGAATTTTTTCTGTTTAACAGCTTAAATCTTCCACTATGAAGCTTTTTGTCAAAAGGGAAATTTATTTAAAATGCCAGATGCTTTCTTTGTAAGAGGAGAATACATTACGAGTAACAAAGCAATTTAACCATGGGGTGCAACAGGTACCAATGATAGTCCTATTCATTCATGATCAGACAACAATTGTTTAATTTTCGTAATTCCTCAAATAACAGAGAAATAGATTGTTGGAAAGAGCAAACATGCTATTTTCCCATTTTCAATGTACTGTGTTCTTGGATAATAGATAACTTAAAAACCTCTAACCTTTAAATCTTTTTCTCAATTTTGAAATTGATCTCACCTAAATCTTTGAAGTCCCAGCAAGAGAGAAGAAAATGATACCACTGGTGCTAATGCATCGTATTGTGCCATTTTGTTTAGCACTACTTGTTCAAAACACTTCAAAAGACAACACTTAAAGGGATATTCCTTGCAAGCCCAATTCTCTCTAGATATGTTACTATAAACATTATTATACTATCCACATTTAGCAAATATGGGAAAAAATTTTGGTATGGTCAAAACGGATCAATTAAAAATGCAGAGTTAATTTCCAGTAGGCTGCCATCTTTTAAAATTTTCTACAGGAAATGATGTCATCAACTCTTAACTTTTATATTCTTCACCCATAACAGTATAGGAAATAAAAACAAAGTCAACTCTAGACAAAAGGTCCTTACTTTCTGCGCAAAAATGTTTTCAGGGCTTGTAAACTTAAAATAAAAGAGATTATCTGCAGAAGTAAATCGTATAAATGTACAAGAAAATTTAAGTAAAAAATGGATAATATAAAAATGGTTAAGTTATCATATCAAGAAAGAATAGACTTGATGCGAGTAGATATAATCTTGATTTACATCATTAAATATTCAAAATTCAGTCAAAGTGATGTCATATTTGAAATCTACAATGAGAATTAATTTTTTTTTAAATTTTGACTTCTCGTTCGAGTTGATTCCCCATAGACCCAATGTTACAAAATCACAAAAAGTGAAATATCTTTTCTTGTATTGGACAGATGTAAAATGTAATTTAATTTAAAGGGAACTTTCTGCTAAACCCGCCATGCTATCTGACCCGAACGAGCCACCTGGTGGTGAAACTGGTAAATACCTACTCGCATCTGCGTTATTGGGCTTGACAGGATTATCCCTTTATCCCTAATTGGCAGAGTGGCATATGTCAGTACCTAATGGATAGTATTGGGATTAGAAGTCAAATGTTGGGAGAGCAATTGGTACACAACTTGAGACATAGCCTTTAATCAAGTGCTCCAGAAAACATATAGAAAGAAAGAAAATTAGGTAGAAGTTTCGTTTGTGTAGCTGGAAATAGAATTAATCTAATAAATGTGATTTCTTGGGGGCATATTGAACAACATTGTCTCTCTTTGGAAATATCTTGGAAAGACAGGTTACTCTTTAAATACAGCTTGGTTAAGGCGAACCTACATATACATGTGCCCTTTATTTGAAAGACTTCAAAGGACCATATATAGCATATGATAAATATGTCCTCTTTTTAAATCTAATGTATTTGGAAATTTCTCTGTCTTAAATCAGAAATAACTCCTAGATTTGATCAGATATCTGAATTCTTTTTTTAGAAAATAAAGTTAGGATTGTAAAAGAAACACTGTCATGCTTTATATTGAAAAGATAGCTTCTAACAATTTTCCCTATCTATCCCTTCTAGTTCGTTTGATCAAACAACTTGGCCTTTGTATTTTTTCCAGATCTAATTAAGCTCTGTATTTCATGAAAATAAACCAAATAACCCTTTAAGACCCATCCGGCAACAAATCTGACGACATTCAATTCATAAGGCAATATCATTGTGTAGTACCATGAAACAGGATATTAAGTAAACTTTAATTGCAGTTGGATTCACTGCATTACAAGAGATAATCTGTTACAGAGAAATGAAATAGTATATTTATCATCCATTAGTATAATAAGACAAAACAATTACATGCTAGTAGAGGGAGAAGAATGTGAACTTACATAAGCATGGTAGAAAGAGCTCTTCAACTGGAGATACTTCCGCCATTTCCCAACATCCTTTTCTTCTAATGACGCTAAACTATCATCTGCAAAAGAAGAAAAGCAATTTGAAGCTGTTTTCGATTATTTATTTGTAATTCAATGCATAAAGCCCGTCACAAGAGTCATTATTAGCTCATCAACTGTTGTTTACTAGGGCAATAGGATCTCAAAATGGAATGTGATGGAAAAATTTACTTCAAATTCTATATGCAAATATGTGAATTGCATAAATGTACCATTGTTCTTGCATTATGGGAAATGTGAGCCACATATTGTTTATGATAAATTTGAAAGTTTTTGCTATTTTACAAAAATGTCATGGGTAACAAAAATGCCTAAAATCTAAAAACCTCCATATCATCTAATTATGTGTTAATGACCCTAACAAACACCTCCACGTCAAAACGACTTTTCAATCAGCATTAATACTTCAATGCTAACATGACAATAAAGGTTGAAATGACCTTTCAATTAGCATTAATATTTCAAAGCCAACATGACAATAAAGGTTGAAATGACCTTTCAATCAGCATTAATACTTCAATGCTAAGATGACAATTAAGGTTGACATGACCTTTCAATTAGCATTAGTATTTCAATGCTAACATGACAATAAAGGTTGAAGTGACCTTTCAATAAGCATTAATACTTCAATGCTAACATGACAATAAAGGTTGAAATGACCTTTCAATTAGCGTTAATATTTCAATGCTAACATGACAATAAAGGTTAAACTGACCTTTCAATTAGCATTACTATTTCAATGCCAACATGACAATAAAGGTTGAACTGACCTTTCAATTAGCATTAATGCTTCAATGCCAACATGACAATTAAGGTTGAACTGACCTTTCAATTAGCATTTATACTTCAATGCTAACATGACAATTAAGGTTGAACTGACCTTTCAATTAGCATTAATAATTCAATGTCAACATGACAATTAAGGTTGAACTGACCTTTCAATTAGCATTAATAATTCAATGCTAACATGACAATTAAGGTTGGAATGACCTTTCAATCAGCATTAATAATTCAATGGTAACATGACAATTAAGGTTGAACTGACCTTTCAATTAGCATTAATAATTCAATGTCAAAATGACAATTAAGGTTGAACTGACCTTTCAATTAGCATTAATAATTCAATGCTAACATGACAATAAAGGTTGAAATGACCTTTCAATTAGCATTAATATTTCAAAGCCAACATGATAATAAAGGTTGAAATGACCTTTCAATCAGCATTAATACTTCAATGCTAAGATGACAATTAAGGTTGACATGACCTTTCAATTAGCATTAGTATTTCAATGCTAACATGACAATAAAGGTTGAAGTGACCTTTCAATTAGCATTAATACTTCAATGCCAACATGACAATTAAGGTTGAACTGAACTTTCAATTAGCATTAATATTTCAATGCTAACATGACAATAAAGGTTGAAATGACCTTTCAATTAGCATTAATATTTAAATGCTAACATGACAATAAAGGTTAAACTGACCTTTCAATTAGCATTACTATTTCAATGCCAACATGACAATAAAGGTTGAAATGACCTTTCAATAAGCATTAATACTTCAATGCTAACATGACAATTAAGGTTGAAATGACCTTTCAATAAGCATTAATATTTCAATGCTAACATGATAATTACGGTTGAAATGACCTTTCAATTAGCATTACTATTTCAATGCTAACATGACAATAAAGGTTGAAATGACCTTTCAATAAGCATTAATACTTCAATGCTAACATGACAATTAAGGTTGAAATGACCTTTAAATTAGTATTAATATTTCAATGCTAACATGACAATTAAGGTTGAAATGACCTTTAAATTAGTATTAATATTCCAATGCTAACATGACAATTAAGGTTGAAATGACCTTTAAATTAGTATTAATATTCCAATGCTAACATGACAATTAAGGTTGAAATGACCTTTCAGCATTAATATTCCAATGCTAACATGACAATTAAGGTTGAACTGACCTTTTAATTAGCATTAATATTTCAATGCCAACATGACAATAAAGGTTGAAATGACCTTTCAATTAGCATTAATATTTCAATGCTAACATGGCAATTAAGGTTTAAATGACCTTTCAATCAGCATGAATATTTCAATGCTAACATGACAATAAAGGTTGAAATGACCTTTCAATTAGCATTAATACTTCAGTGCCAACATGACAATAAAGGTTAAACTGACCTTTCAATTAGCATTACTATTTCAATGCCAACATGACAATAAAGGTTGAAATGACCTTTCAATTAGCATTAATACTTCAATGCTAACATGACAATTAAGGTTGAACTGACCTTTTAATTAGCATTAATATTTCAATGCCAACATGACAATTAAGGTTGAAATGACCTTTCAATTAGCATTAATATTTCAATGCTAACATGGCAATTAAGGTTGAAATGACCTTTCAATCAGCATTAATACATCAATGCTAACATGATAATTAAGGTTGAACTGACCTTTCAATTAGCATTAATATTTCAATGCCAACATGACAATAAAGGTTGAAATGACCTTTCAATTAGCATTAATATTTCAATGCTAACATGGCAATTAAGGTTGAAATGACCTTTCAATCAGCATTAATACATCAATGCTAACATGATAATTAAGGTTGAACTGACCTTTCAATTAGCATTAATATTTCAATGCCAACATGACAATAAAGGTTGAAATGACCTTTCAATTGGCATTAATACTTCAATGCCAACATGACAATAAAGGTTGAAATGACCTTTCAATTGGCATTAATACTTCAATGCCAACATGACAATAAAGGTTGAAATGACCTTTCAATTAGCATTAATACTTCAATGCCAACATGACAATAAAGGTTGAAATGACCTTTCAATTGGCATTAATACTTCAATGCCAACATGACAATAAAGGTTGAAATGACCTTTCAATTAGCATTAATACTCCAGTGCTAACATGACAATTAAGGTTGGAATGACCTTTCAATCAGCATTAATACTTCAATGCTAACATGACAATTAAGGTTGAACTGACCTTTCAATTAGCATTAATATTTCAATGCCAACATGACAATAAAGGTTGAAATGACCTTTCAATTGGCATTAATACTTCAATGCTAACATGACAATTAAGGTTGAACTGACCTTTCAATTAGCATTAATATTCCAATGCTAACATGACAATTAAGGTTGAACTGACCTTTCAATTAGCATTAATATTTCAATGCCAACATGACAATAAAGGTTGAAATGACCTTTCAATTAGCATTAATATTTCAATGCTAACATGACAATAAAGGTTGAACTGACCTTTCAATTAGCATTAATATTTCAATGCTAACATGACAATTAAGGTTGAACTGAACTTTCAATTAGCGTTAATATTTCAATGCTAACATGACAATTAAGGTTGAGATGACCTTTCAATTAGCATTAATATTTCAATGCTAACATGACAATTAAGGTTGAACTGAACTTTCAATTAGCATTAATATTTCAATGCCAACATGACAATAAAGGTTGAAATGACCTTTCAATTAGCATTTATACTTCAATGCTAACATGACAATTAAGGTTGAAATGACCTTTCAATTAGCATTACTATTTCAATGCCAACATGACAATAAAGGTTAAACTGACCTTTCAATTAGCATTACTATTTCAATGCCAACATGACAATAAAGGTTGAAATGACCTTTCAATTAGCATTAATATTTCAATGCTACATGACAATTAAGGTTGAAATGACCTTTCAATTAGCGTTACTATTTCAATGCCAACATGACAATAAAGGTTAAACTGACCTTTCAATTAGCATTACTATTTCAATTCCAACATGACAATAAAGGTTAAACTGACCTTTCAATTAGCATTACTATTTCAATGCCAACATGACAATAAAGGTTGAAATGACCTTTCAATTAGCATTAATATTTCAATGCTAACATAACAATTAAGGTTGAACTGAACTTTCAATTAGCATTAATGCTTCAATGCCAACATGACAATTAAGGTTGAACTGAACTTTCAATTAGCATTAATATTTCAATGCTAACATGACAATAAAGGTTGAACTGACCTTTCAATTAGCATTAATGCTTCAATGCCAACATGACAATTAAGGTTGAACTGAACTTTCAATAAGCATTAATGCTTCAATGCCAACATGACAATTAAGGTTGAACTGAACTTTCAATTAGCATTAATGCTTCAATGCCAACATGACAATTAAGGTTGAACTGAACTTTCAATTAGCGTTAATATTTCAATGCTAACATGACAATTAAGGTTGAAATGACCTTTCAATTAGCATTAATATTTCAATGCTAACATGACAATTAAGGTTGAACTGACCTTTTAATTAGCATTAATATTTCAATGTTAACATTGCAATAAAGGTTAAACTGACCTTTCAATTAGCATTAATACTTCAATGCTAACATGACAATTAAGGTTGAACTGACCTTTTAATTAGCATTAATATTTCAATGCTAACATGACAATTAAGGTTGAAATGACCTTTCAATTAGCATTAATATTTCAATGCTAGCATGACAATTAAGGTTGAAATGACCTTTCAATCAGCATTAATAGTTCAATGCTAGCATGACAATTAAGGTTGAAATGACCTTTCAATCAGCATTAATATTTCAATGCTAGCATGACAATTAAGGTTGAAATGACCTTTCAATCAGCATTAATATTTCAATGCTAGCATGACAATTAAGGTTGAAATGACCTTTCAATCAGCATTAATATTTCAATGCTAGCATGACAATAAAGGTTAAAATGACCTTTCAATTAGCATTAATATTTCAATGCTAACATGACAATTAAGGTTAAACTGACCTTTCAATTAGCATTAATACTTCAATGCTAACATGACAATAAAGGTTAAACTGACCTTTCAATTAGCATTAATATTTCAATGCCAACATGACAATAAAGGTTAAACTGACCTTTCAATTAGCATTAATACTCCAATGCTAACATGACAATAAAGGTTGAAATGACCTTTCAATTAGCATTAATAT